TTTTGGCATTAAATTTACTCCAACATATGCCTCTTCTAAATAATGATAGGCTGCTTTGGGACATTCAGTGGACACTAACTCTCTTAGAGGGGTATGCACAGTGCAACAGGGTGCCAAGAATGCAGGACAAATGTTCCTCTCCCCATCTCCTCCCCACCCTTCAAGGTCTACATATACCCTCTCAGCTCCCAACATCATCTTTAAGGCCTGTTGGTTTCCACTTTCTCAGAGGAGATGATGGAGCTGATACCCCTTGGTTTCTATGTTGTCATTGTTATCTGATGACAGCAACTTTCTTAGAAATGTGAACCTTCTGATAAGAGCAAATAGCTGATAATACATTGTTTCTTTTTTATTTTATTTTATTGATTATGGTATTAGAGTTGTCCCAGATTTTTCCCCACCACCCAGCACCGCCCACTCCTTCAGGTAATACACATACCATTGTTCATGTCCGCAGGTCATGTGTATAGGTTCTTTGGCTACTCTATTTCCCATACTGTACTTTACATCCCCCTGCCTATTCTGTAACTACCTGTTTGTACTTCCTAATGCCTCCACCTCTATACTCATTTTCCTCCATACCCCACTCCCACCTGGCAACCATGAAAATGCTCTCCATATTCATGATTCTGTGTCTGTTCTTGTTTGTTTAGCTTGTTTTTTTAGATTCAATTATTGATAGATATGTATATTGCCATTTTATTGTTCATAGTTTTTATCCTATTTTTCTTAACTAAGTCCCTTTAACACTTCATATAACAATGTGTTGGTGATGATGAACTCCTTTAGTGTTTTCTTATTGGGGAAACTCTTTATCTGCCCTTCCATTCTAAATAATAGCTCTGCTGGGAAGAGCAATCTTGGCTGTAGGTCCTTGATTTTCATGACTTTGAATATTCTTTGCCAATCCTTGCTAGCTTGCAAGGTTCCTTTTGAGAAATATGCTGGCAGCCTTATTGGAACTCTCCTGTGGGTAACTACTTTCTTTTCTCCTGTCACTTTTAAGATTTTCTCTTTATCTTTAGTCTTTGGCATTTTAATTATGATGTGTCTTGGAGTGGACCTCTTCTCATCCATTTTGTTTGGGACTCCCTGTGCTTCCTGGACTTGCATGTCTATTTCCCTCACCAAAATAGGGAAATTTTCTTTCATTATTTTTGCAAATAGATTTCCAATTTCTTGGTTTTTCTCTTCTCCTTCTGGCACCCCTGTGATGCGAATGTGTTGGAACTCTTGAAGTTCTCCCATAGGCTGCTTACACTATTCTCATTTGTTTGGATTCTTTTTTCTTCTTGCTTTTTAGTTCCTTATGTTCCAAATAATTGATTTGATTCCCAGCTTCATTCACTGTACTGTTGTTTCCCTATAAATTGTTCTTTATTTCAATTAGTATGTCCTTTGTTTCTGACAGGATCTTTTTTATGCTGTTGAAGTCCTCACTAATTTCCTTGAACATCCTTATAACCAGTGTTTTGAGTTCTGCATCTGATAAATTGCTTATTCCCCTTTTGTTTAGTTCTCTTCCTGGAATTTTGATCCATTCTTTCATTTGGGCCATGTTTCTTTGTCTCCTTGTTTTGGCAGCCTCCCTGTGTTTGTTTCTATGTATTAGGTATATCTACTATGACTCCCTGTGTTGCTAGCATGGCCTAATGTAGTAGGTGTCCTGTAGGGTCCAGGAGCATAGACTCCCCTATCACCCAGGCTGGGTCCTCAAGGTGTGCCTTTCATGTGGGCTGATATACCCAAGTTGAGCCTTGACTGCTGTTGGCACATCAATAGGAGGGACTTACCCAGGCCTGTCAGTTACAAGGACTGGCTGTGATCCCTGACCACCAACCTCCACCCTCTGTGGAGGATTAGCTGTGCAGGGTTGGGTTGATGATGCTCTGATGTGGTCTGTAGCTCTCCACTGGGTGCTCAGGCTCTGGAATTTCCCAGGTGGTGCAGGCTAAGGTCAGCCCCAACCTGTGTCTTGCCTAGGGCCAGCCTGCCTAAGTACTAAAGCAATCTGAGATGACTGGTACTTGTTCTCAGCTTGGAAATTCCCAGGTGAAGCCAAGCTATGAATCTATGCTGGTTGCTGTTACTGCCAGGCCTGGGGCTACTTCACTGTTCCTTATTTGATAGGATTTAGGAAATAGTGAAACATGATTCAAGGCCAGCCATTCATATGGAAAAGTCATTGCTAACAGTTTGAGTGGGTCTGTAATTTGGATGGGACAGAGTCTGAGGGGATCTCCAAGGCAGGGCAAACAGTGTTAGTCAGGCTGATGGAGTCTCAGATATGGCACTCACCTGCTGGCTCTGTGGCTCTGTGGGTAGAGAGCTCAGAAAAGTGACAATGGCCTCTGCCCACCTTTCTGTCAGGAGAATGCTGTCCCCCCAGCTCTTGCCTTGATGCCAAATACTTTAGTTTCTCCCAGTATGCCACTGGTGTCCTTTAAGCTGCTACCCCAGTGGTACTGGAGCTCAGAGGGAGTGCTTCTTTGTAAATTTGTGTGTGGGTTCTTTAAGGAGAACTGCTTGGGACTCCAGAAGTTTTTTCCACCAACACAATCCCTGTTGGTTTTTGCTGCCAGAAGTTATGGGGACTTATCTTCCTGGCACTGGAAGCCTGTGCTGGGGGCATAGTGTGAGGCAGGGACTCCTCACTCCTGAGATATTCTTCCTAAATATTTATCTACCACGCATGGGTGTGGGTCCATCCAACTCAGTCTCTATCTCTGGCCCCTCCTACCAGTGTGGTTGGGTGTGGTTTCTTTAATTCTATAGTTGTCAGACTTCCATTGAATTTGATTTCTGATGGTTCTGAATGATAGTTGTTCTATATTTTAGTTGTAATTTTGATGAGGTTGTGTGAGGAGGCAAGCTGTGTTTACCTATGCTGCCATCTTGACTGGAAGTATAGATTGTTTTCTTATTAATGAATTTACAGGGTAAACTCTTTTAGGGGATTTGCATTTTGAAAAAGTTAATTGAAGTCTAACTTCTCCAAGAAAGGGTCTGATTCTTGAACATTCCCAGGACTTGATGCAACTGAGACAGTCAGGAGACTGTGGAAACTGTTAGGCCCATCGGGTCCAGTCCTTCCTGGCCTTCAACTAATTATCCATGCCCAGTGTTGGGTCAATACATGGCTCTCCCACCACCTGTGAAAAGGGATAGCCAGGGGTCCCTTGGCCAGAAGGAATGTATATTGTTTTGGGAATGGATTATAACTACCTCCTTATTTCCTTCTTGCCCTGTGACTGCTTCTTGAACTTTTGCTTCTGCACATACACAGATGTAAGTAGCTCTGGGCCACATGCGGGTTTGTGCAACCTGGACCCATGCTGCCTTTGTCTGGTACCCCTTATAATGAGTCTCAGACTAGAGGAGGTAAAGTCTCTCTCACACCAACTCGCCGCTGTTCACCTGTAATATGAGTAATAAGCTGCATGTCCACATCTGCTAGTCCATCAGATGTTTTTTCGTGTTTTTTTTCAGAGTATCATGAACATTTAAGAAGCTCCCTGGTTTGGGTGTCCTGTGCTACACCCACTAATGTGTCATCAACCCAAGAGGACTAGGTAGGGAGAATATGTGGTCATTATAATGTGTGGACATGGTGAAGAAGGCTCTGATGATGGATTAAGGAATTTCACCAAGACCTTGGATGTTAGATCTAGATGATGTGGCTGTTTCTGTAACCCTGTAAAAAGTAATTGGGCTGGAATTTCAGGATCATGTGGTTGGGCTATAAGTTTTAGTAACTCCCCTCTTCCCCACTTTGAGGGTTCCTGAGACCTAGCAGGAGCTCAACCGGACACCAACCCTCACACATCTCTGGTAAGGACTTGAGAACACTTGTTTTTTTGCACTTAGCACAGTAAAGTCTTACTACTTAGATTTTATTTTCACCAAGCTTCTGACCCAGGCCTCTCAGCAACCTCAGAGCCATCCTGATTCTGCCACTTACTGTGTGACCAAGGGTCTGCTACAACTCTGGATCATTTCATTCATTTTGTAAATGTTTATTAAGTACCTACTGTGTGCCAGGTACCATTCTAGGTGCTTTCCTATCTTTTCCAGTATTTAAAAAATTTCCTGCCCTGGCTGGGTGGCTCAGTTGGTTGAAACATTGTCCCGTGCAGCAAAGGTTGTGGGTTCAATCTCCAGTCAGGGCACATACCTAGGTTGTGGGCTCAATCCCCAGTCTCGACATGTATGGGAGGCAACTAATCAATGTTTCTCTCTCACATCAATATTTCTCTCCCTCTTTCCTTTCCCCTGTCTCTAAAATCAATAAACAAATCATTGGGTGAGGATTAATAAACAAATAATAAAAATTAAAAATGTCCTATATAAAGAAAGGCACTTATAACTTATATGTGCATTTTAAAGAATAATTCAAAGGCAATATCCCTGTAACCACTACCTAGGGCAAGAAATGCACCCCAGAGCACACTTCACAACTGCTTCTTCTTTTCTAGGGCTATTAAACTATCCTGACATTTGTGATCATTTCTTTGTAGTTTCTCATCTATGAGTATACAGATTTCTCATCTATATATAGATTTCTAAACTATATACTGTGATTTTTGCCACACTTAGAACTTATACAAATGGAATTGGACTGTATTTATTCACCCTTGTTTCTTTTGTGCTACAATGCTTTCAAGGTTTATCCCTGTAATTGCACATGGTTATAACCATTCATTTTTGTTGTATAGCATTTCCACTGTTTGAAATACCACTAATTTATATATCCATTTAACTACTGATGAACACTGTTTTAAACTCTTGGCTCCTAGGACCAATGCTCCTCAATGGTAACTGAAGGAATGTTCACCACAGTGACTGAGGCAGGAAGGATGAAGTATTTGGGGAGCCTGCTGCCCAGGAAAGGCTTTGGAGTAGAATTTTCCTCGAGCCTCTGCAGCATTTAAATATGCAGCTTAGCTTCTGCATGTGATTCCAGGCTGGAAGTAGGAAAAACCCACACAAGTACACGCTGGCTTTCTATGTATTGTGTATTTAAAAAAATCAATTCATTCAGCACACCAACCCCTGTGACTTCCAGCTGCTGCCTCAGCTCTTTTTTTCCAGGTCGGCCACCAAGTAGGGTTGGGTGTTCTTTAGGGCCTCAAGGAGCAGGTCTTTGCAGGTCAGGTCCCAGGCTGGAGCAAAGCTGTAGAGCTTCCTCATCTTCCCTGGATTGGTGGACTCCGCCCGCACAGCCTGGTACTGCTCCTCTGCCAGGACCTTCCCATACAGAGCATCCAGCACCCCATCCACGTCTGTGACCCGTGCAATGAGGGCTGCCCGGTGCTGGTCCACAAAGTGCGGTCCTGGGGACAGGAGGGAGTAGATCAGATGAACTGGCACCCAGGGTGGGTGCTGGAGCCTGTCCCTGCGAGCACTCCTTTCTTCAGAGTTGCTCTGAGTGCACCCTAAGGGGGTGGAGCTCAAGGCAGGCAGCCCACCAGGACTCCAGATAGAGTGGGATGGGCATAACTTGGTGTCCCTTTCTCCTCAGCCAGGCTGGGCCCAAGGAGTTGTGTAGGTATGTGGGTGGGAAGGGTTGGCTCAGGCTTGCTCTCTCCTGGTTCTCTTGGGTTCGGGAGCAGACAGGCTGTGCAGGGGTGTGGTGTGGTGGGATGGGGCTGGTAGGGTGCCCAGAACAACCGAGTTTGGGTGTGAAGGCCTCACCTGATGACAGGGCTGAGATCGGGGTATGGGCCTTGGTATCAGCTGGCATGGCTGCAGAGCCTGTAATGGAATAAGTGGTTTTCTTCCCTTTCTTTTCTCCAGGGTCCTGGGGGGAGGTCAGGGGCCCTTTGGTCAGGAAGCCAGTCAGGACCAAGCGCGGGAAGCCTCCCTTCCCAGCAGGAGTTCTCATTAGAGGGTAGGAGGAACAGAAAGTGAAAGAGCCCAAGGGGAAATGTTCGGGCTGGAGGTTGGGTGTATGTGAGGGGATCTTGGGGGACGGAGGAGATTCTGGAGGGCGTGGCGGGGCTCGCTCACCTTCTTTGCGAGTGACGTCCTGCAGCCGCTCCGCGGTCTCCTGCATGCCCATGTCCCGCAGCACTTGGGCAGTGAGCTCCGCGCTGTAGGCTTCCAGGTAGCAGCTGACGAGCTTGTCGGTGAGGTCCATGGCGTCCATGGACTGCAGTGGCCCCCGCGGGATGCGCCTGTAGCCCTCGCGCAGGGGCACTGAAAGCAGCTTCAGCTTGAACTTCTTAAACTCGTCGGCGGTCAGGTTCTCCAGTGCCTCCAGGATGGCGTCCCGCATGCCCCCCATGGTTCCGGGGTCCCCCGTTGCCGCTCACCCCAGGTATCCGCCAACCAGGAAGTTCTGCTCTTGGGCGGGACCTGAGTCCTTTGGCTAAGGGATTAGGAGGAGGGGCCAGGAACCCATCCTCCAGCTGGTCCAGAAGATGGGACCCACAAGACCCAGCGGGGAGAGACTAATGGGTGGTGCCTGCGACTCCAGGCTTGCACTAGCTAGCACAGAGCAGGAACCCCATTCAGGGGTGTGCTAAGGCTCAGAATCTTGGAATTTTAGAGCCCTTAAATCTCCACCATTCCCTGAACCTTAGCATCGTCTCGCACATGTCATGTGATCTTATAATCAGAATCTCAACAGCCAGAACCTTGTAGCTTCCCCAATTCCACACACTGGGGAGAAATGAGGTGTAAAAGAAAATGGTGACAAATAGCTGTGTGTGCTTTGTGTCTCAGCCTCAGGTTCCTTACCTGTAAAGTGGGGATAACACTGGCTCATCCACTTAGTAAGTGTTTCAACATAACATGAGCTACCTAGAGGTTTCTGCAACCTTGCCAAATGCTTCCTGGGAGAGCCAGGATTTGGTCCCAGGAGAAGTTCTTGGGACGTGATGATAAGAGACACTTTCAATGGTTGAGAAAATTCTTGACTGGAGGGAAAGTCATGCATGGAGAGTCACTCTGGGCCCAGGGGGCTTGACCCAGAAGACCAGGTGGGAGGTACATAGTGGGGATTGGAGCCCAAGCTGTGCCCAGAATCCTTAACTTGCTTTTAACGTGGCTGGGAAGGCCCTTTGGGTCTGGCCCTGTGAATCACATGCCTTGTCTTGCACCACACCCTGCTCTCCCTCCATCTCTGAGTTCCAAGTATACTGGCCTCAGTTCCCCAGGTGTGCCAGGCTCCTTTGCTTCTTTAAGCCTTTGCACATACTGTTCCTGTAACCTGCAAATCTGTTCCCTCACTCTGCCTGACAAACTCTTGATACTTTAGGTCTCAAGTTAATGTCACTTCCTTGGGGAGACCAGGTTTAGAATCCCTCTCAGGGTAATTCCAAACACCTGCTACTTATTTGTAGCTACTGATAGCAATTGTGACAAAATTGTAACTAACTCTGCATTTATTTAGCACCAGCCTTCCCTGTCAGCTTGTAAATCATGCCTGTTCACATCATTGTTATATTCACAGCATCCAGAACAGTGCCCAGCCTACAGTAAGTGCTCAATAAACCTTTGTGAATGGGCCTTGTGGCTCGAGGATACCAGTAACTGGAAGTATGTTTTACATATTAGCTCTTCAAAGGGAGGCAGCTTCCAGGAGCTGAAGGATGGTGGACTTGAAGCTGTATAGTCCCTACTTTGTATCCTGGCTCTCCTTTCTGGGTGGGTTCTGGGAATCTCATTTTTCCTCATGTGGGGTGTAATGATCACCATTCCTTGCAGTGATGTAATCCTGACATACTCCACATGTATTTATTTATTTGTTTATTGGGCACCCATCCCCACCAGAATGTGAGTTTTGTGAGTGTAGGGACACTGTCTTGTTCATTGCTGAAGCCCCAGCATGAAGAGCCTGCACAGTGCACAGTAGATGCTCAGTGAAGATTTGCTGAATGAAGGAATGAACGGGGCTATGTTACCGGCAGCACGTTGTAGTTAAGAGCTTCCAGAGGATAGCAGGGCCCTGCTCCCATCCTTGTATGTGTTGCCCCACACAGGCTGGGTAGTACTATGTACCAGCATCCTCACCACAGGTCCAACAGCCAGTGTTTCCTGGCTCATGGCTGTATATTACTGTGCATCTCCACTGGTCTTCATCCTTTCAGAATCTCCAGGTCCTTTTGTGCACGGTAGCCAGAAGGCTACATCTTCCCAGCCCACACATTGGTCCTGTCCCTCCCCTGCTCGGAAACCTGCTATGACTCTCAGTGCCCCAGAATCAAATCAAGCTCCTCGGTTTGGCCTTCGGGCCTTTGCCAACCTCTTCAGCAGCACCTTGTCCAATGGTGGCCTCTGGACCTCTGCACATGTGGTACTTGCTCTCTGCTTGGCTTCGTTTTCTGCTTGCTCTGCTTTTTGGGTTTCTACCTGTGCTCCAGCATTCATCAAGAATCACTTTTTCTAGGACATGCAGCAAGATGGAGGTGCAGGTAGACCACTGTTCTTCCTCGCACAACCAAAAGAAGAAAAACAACAAATTTAAAAACAACAACAACAACAACCAGAACTGACAGAAAATCAAACTGTATGGAAGTCTGACAATGAAGGAGTTAAAGAAGAAACATTCGTCCAGACTGGTAGAAGGGGTGGAGCTGGGCAGTGGGACAAGAGGACTTGCAGTAGAACAGCGGCTGGAGGATAAGGACAGGCAAAGCAGTGGCTGGCAGACAGGGTGGTTCACATTCACATGTAGATAACCCAGGAGGAACAACTTGAGAGCAAGACAGACCACACGCCGAGGGTTCCAGCACAAGGAAATAAAGCCTCAAACCTCTGATTGAAAACACGTGTGGAGGTTGACGCAGCAGTGGGAGAAACTTCCAGCCTCATGGGAGAGTTCATTGGAGAGACCAACAGGGTCCTAGTACTTACACAAACCCACCCACCCAGGAATCAGCACCAGGAGGTCCCAATTTAATTGTGCAGAGCAGTGGAAGTGACTGAAAACCAGCAGAGTGGAACAAGCTGGATTATTCCCTCTCAGACCCCTCCCCCACATACAGTATCACAATGTAGTGATATGATTGCCTGCCTTGGTGAACACCTAAGGCTCCTCCCCTTACTATGTAACAGGTGCACCGAGACTCCCCCCCAAAAAATGGCCCAAATGAAAGAACAGATCAAAGCTCCAGAAAAAATACAACTAAGCGATGAAGAGATAGCTAACCTATCAGATACACAGTTGAAAACACTGGTAATCAGTATGCTCACAGAATTGGTTGAATATGGTTGCAAATTAGAGGAAAAAATAAAGGCCATGCTGAGTGAAATAAAGGAAAATACACAGGGAACCAACAGTGATGGGAAGAAAGCTGGGACTTGACTCAATGGTATGGACCAGAAGGAAGAAACATTTGACCAGAATGGAATAAAGAAACAAAAATTAAAAAAAAAAAATAAGGAGAAGCTTAGGAACCTCCAGGACATCTTTAAATGTTCCAACATCTGAATCACAGCTGTGCCAGAAGAAGAGTAAGAACAAGATATTTAAAACTTATTTGAACAAATAATGAAGGAGAACTTCCCTAATCTGCCAAAGGAAATAGACTTCCAGGAAGTTCAGGAAGCTCAGAGAGTTCCAAAGAAGTTGGACCCAAGGAGGAACACACCAAGGCACATCACAATTACATTAGCCAAGACAAAAGATAAAGGGAGAATCTTAAAAGCAGCAAGAGAAAAGGGGACAGTTTCCTGCAAAGGAGTGCCCATAAGGCTATCAGCTGATTTCTCAAAAGAAATCTTGCAGACAAGAAGGGGCTGGAAAGAAGTATTCAAAGTCATGAAAGCCAAGAACCTACATCCAAGATTACTCTATCCAGCAAAGCTATCATTTAGAATGGAAGGGCAGATAAAGTGCTTCCCAAATAAGGTCAAGTTAAAGGAGCTCATCATTACCAAGCCCTTATTATATGAAATGTTAAAGGGACTTATCTAAGAAAAAGAAGATAAAAAAATATGAACAGTAAAATGATAACAAGCTCACAGTTATTAACAACTGAAACAAACACAAAAACTCGGCAAACAAGTAGAACAGGAACAGAATCACAAGAAATGGACATCACAGAGGTTATCAGTGGGAGAGTGGGAGGGGGAGAGAGGGGGAAAGGTACAGAGAATAAATAGGATAAATGGGAGGTAGAAAATAGACAGGGGGAGGGTAAGAATACTATGGGAAATGTAGAAACCAAAGAACTTATATGTATGACCCATGGACATGAACTAAAGGGGGGAATGTGGGTGGGAGGGGGTTTGCAGAGTGGAGGGGAATAAAGGGAGAAGGGAAATGGGACAACTGTAATAGCATAATCAATAAAATACATTTAAAAAAAAGAATCTTTTTTTTCAGAGAAATAATAAACATTGGAGTCCCTCTTTAGGCTGTGATCCTTCATGTGCATTATTTCTAAGCCTTACAACAATCACTATGAAATACGGAATAGTAGCCCATTTCACAAACGAGAAGACTGAGTGAAGCTCAGGTTAAAGGACTTAACCAAGTCCATGTAGCTGAGGGGATCACATAGCTTGTCTAACTTCTGAGTCTGTCCTCTGTCCACTCTTCCCTGTTGACTCTTCTGTCCTCTCTGTGCAAAATGACGTATTGCTTGTCCAGGTCCACAGGATGCCCCTACTGTGCCTCTACTGCAGTGTTTATCCCACGGTGTGCCCACTCCCTCTACTGTCCCCACCAGACTGAGCTCCTTGAGGCCCCTTTCTGGTCCACAGCACCCACCACAGGGCTTGGCACAGACTCAGTCCTGACAAGCCTTTATGCAACTGCAAAAGAATCCTAGAATCTAGAGTCATAAAAACCTGCTCTTTTTACATCTGGTAGAATCTTAAAAGCTTTGTGTGTTTGAGCCATGCAATTTAAAAGTTGCCCAGGCTTTATTCCAGAAGTAGCTTGTTGATGTAGTGTGTAAGTTAGCATGGTCTTTCGTCAGCTTCCAGTACGGCGTACCGTGGCCAGGGCCAACAAGTGCAGAAGGTGATGGTGCAGCCCATCAACCTTATCTTCAGATACTTGCAAAATAGATCTCAGATTCAGGTGTGGCTTTATGAGTGAGTGAATATGTGGGTAGAGGGCTGTATCATTGGTTTTAATGAATACATGAACCTTGTATTAGAGGATGCAGAAGAGATTCATTTTTAAACAAAGTCAAGAAAACAACCAGGTCAGATCATGATAAAAGGTGATAATATTAGTCTCCTCCAATGTGTCTCCAATTAGAAATGACTAACAAAGTGTAAAGTGTTGAGAAGCAATACAGTTTGTATTTTTTAGGTGTTCTTTGTTGCAGGTAGTCCTTGAACATTTATTCATATTGTTTTGATTACCCTTTTGTTATTACCAGATGGCAATAAAT